ATGGTCAAGCGGGGTGGGGGTGGGGGGAAGTAGGAGAAATGAGGGATATCTATAATATAATACTCTCAAAATAAAATAAACAAAGAAAAAAAAAAAACCACCACAAATTGGATCACAATGCTTCTGTATGTTCTTCCAAGGCTTCCTGTTACAGAGAATAAAATCCAAATTCTTTAACAAGGACTATAAGGCCCTGCATCATCTAGTCTCTGCCTTTCAGATTTCATCTCAAACCACTCTCTCCCCTAATTAACTATGTTCTGGACACTTACCTTTTTTTAGTTCCTTTCTTGATGCAGAATCTATGCCCATTGTTCTTCCTTTTGCTTATAATATTCTTCCTCTCCACATGGCCAATATAGTCTCACTTTTTAGGGTGTGACTTAAATGGCAGCTTTATAAAAAGACTTTTCCTGACCTAATTTATGGGAAGTTCCTCCCTTTTTTGTCTCTAGCTCAGATTCTTAATTGTTTGCTTCCCGAATAGCTCATGTATGCCCTCTGAAAAATTTAACTCTTATTACTAAACTGCTAAACACTAAAACTGCTTTAAGTCCCCCAAAGCAAGAGAGGCCAGTTTTGGATTTCCGCTCTATCATAACAGAATTTTAGCAATGTTGTGGCAATGTATGAACTGGCTTATATATATACATTTTAGTTTCAGGCTCACCAATTGGGTATATATTTATAGGTTTCATTAGACTTCTCAACTTTCTAAACAATGCTTAACATAATCTGGACAATCAAATAAAGATACTTTATGTGTTCTTATGTCAGAATTATGTAATCCTATTAATTAACAATAATAATTTCAGATAATTCTTCATATAATTTTTGTGTTCTTTCACTGAATTTTTCTTAACCAGTGATGTTGGTATTTACTTTATAGTGCCTATTGTATTTGTGGCTGCCTCTCTAAAAAAAGGCAGGTGGCAAATTGGAAAGAGCTTGGGCTTTTTGAATGCATCAGAAATGGGTTCGGATAACCACTTCTGGCACCACTAGTTTTCCCAGGCTATTAAGTCTCCATAAGACAGGGATACTACTACTGCTGAGATATAACTGTAACACTGCTGTGTATGTGACAATAATGCATAAAGGCATCACGGGCTCTCCTTTGTCCAGTCTGATGCTGCTGTATTAGTTTTCCATCAACAGTGACACCTACAGGTGGAGTCTGTGGTGGAAGTCAAGGTTGATAAAGATTTTCCTAGGTACCACTCAAGTGATTTCCTTTCTTAAAAAAGCTTAAAATGATTATTTAAATTATAAGGTAGCCATACTTTAAAAATATATATATTTTATTGATTTTTCACAGAAAGAGAGAGGGATAGAGAGTTAGAAACATCAATGAGAGAGAATCATCGATCAGCTGCCTCCTACACACCCCTTACTGGGGATGTGCCTGCAACCAAGGTACATGCCCTTGACCAGAATCGAACCCGGGACCTTCTAGTCCACAGGCTGACGCTCTATCCACTGAGCCAAACCGGTTTCGTCAGTAGCCACTTTTTAAAACACATTTATGAAAACATTGGCCAACCACTTTTTAAAAAACTTTTAATTTGAAATACAGTTGACTCTTCCACATCTCAGGGGTTTGAGGTACTGACCACTCACAGTCAAAAATCCAGTTATAACCTAAGTCGGCCCTCCATGTATATAATTTCCTAACCACTGGACCCTCACAACTCAAACCCATGTTGTTCAAGGATCAACTGTAACTAAAGATTTATAGTGCAGTCCTAGTCGGTTTGGCTCAGTGGATAAAGCTTCGGCCTGCGGACTCAAAGGTCCCAGGTTCGATTCCAGTCAAGGGCAAGTACCTTGGTTGCGGGCACATCCCCAGTAGGAGCTGTGCAGGAGACAGATGACTGATGTTTCTCTCTCATCGATGTTTCTAACTCTTTCTCCCTCTCCCTCCCTCTGTGTAAAAAAATCAATAAAATGTATATATATATAAAAAAGATTTATAGTGTAAAATTATTATACAGAGAAGTACCCTTCACCCAGTATTCCACAGTATCATCTTAAATAACTAAAGTACAATATCAAAACCAGAAAAATGACGCTGGTACAATTCACAGAGCTTTCAAATTTTACCAGTTTTACATGCACTTTTCTGTGTGTGTACATAAATCTATGCAATTCTGTCATCCAAGGAGATTCATGGCCCAGCACTGTTTTGTTTCTTATGGTTGCTATGCTTTTTTCAAAATCAAATAATAAAAACAATATTTACAAATTATCTGCTTTAATTTTGGCTATAATTCTGATATTTTCACCTCCAGTTTAACAGACTAGAAAATATTATTTACATAGCATATAATCGTACAGGGTGGGGAAAACGTAAGTTTAAAGTTGTGAAACAGTTTTTTTCTTATATTATTATCTATTAGTCATTGTTCCTAATACAGAGACAACTATAAACTTACTTTTGCCACACCCTGTGTTTTGAGTGATAAACTTGGATATAATATCCCAAAACACCATAACATTTTCCAAAACCTGTATTGGCCTTTTTTTCTTATTGAGACATGCATAAAAGATTCTTGGTAGAAGAGAGCAAAACAGCTCTTCTTTCTAGGCCTGCACCTGCTGTCAGAGTGAGCAGCAGCAGGCTACTGGATTAGGTATTGGCCGTGTGCAATTTCTTAAGATAATTTTCTCCAGGAAGAAACTGATTTTTAAAATCTATAAAACATACATGTTCAAAGTGTAAGAGGCTTTATTAAACAGCATCATTTAACACTCTGATTATAAAATATATTCATTTTGGTCTTAGCTCAGAACACAGAAAGTTGGAGAAACACTATTTGCCCTTTGATGTAGCCAGGACAGCAGTCATGCTAAATACTGGTAGGTATTTTGCTTGTTGCTAGAGGATGTTTATTGTTGTTTTTAACTATAGTGGTTGTGCAATGAGAAATTTGAAATTCTGAACAGTAATTAAACTAAAATTCAAGAATGAATTCCGTTTACAAGAAAAATCAGATACAAAGTAGGGTAATTTTCCTCAAAAAGAAGACTGCAGTAGGCCTCTGCAAGGAAAGCAAGAGGCAAAAACCTACCAAGCTCAGCTCTTTTTGGAACCTGACGCCACACTGATACCAGGCATCAGAACACAGTCAAACCAATATCTTTTTACCAATTATCCTTTTCCTGTCCACTGGCCTCCTGCTCCCACTTGCTGCTTATGAAAGATTGGAGAACAAGAAAGAACCAGTTTATTTATGGAATCTGTGAAACAAAGAAAATATTATGCCTGCTCTTTCTCTTCCAAAAATAGGAAAATCACTATGCTTTGTTTTGTAACAGAAACAGAAGCCTCTGAGAGAATATACAAATTGAAAAACTCAAGAACAATAATGTGCTAATTTAAACTAAATTAATTATAGGTTGAAGTTTCAAATCCAGCTGGTGAACAAAAAAGTATTCTTAAAATCGTAGATAAAACTAAGTGGAGAAGGTAATCTAAAAGTTTTTGCTATGCTGAACTTTTACATTCCTAGACAAATGTCAATAAAAATATTATTAGCACCCAAGATGGGAAAGTTAGAAAAATTTCCAGCTCTTCCTGAATCTAGTCTTACAAGTATAATTTCATTATTTTATTGCAAGTAATGTGAACTCTCTGCATTTCAGAAAATACATATGAAATACTATATAATAAAACCCTAATATGCAAATCAACTTAACAGCAGAACTATAAGTTGCTATGATGTGCACTGACCACCAGGGGGCAGACACTCAATGCAGGAACTGCCCCCTGGTGGTTAGTGTGCTCCCAAAGGGAGAGTGCCACTCAGCCAGAAGCCAGGCTCACAGCTTGCAAGTGCAGAGGCAGTGGAGGGAGCTTCTCCTGCCTCCTCAGCAGTGCTAAGGAGCAGCAGGCAGGTGGTTAGTAAGGAGTGAGGGGTCCCGAACTGCAAGAGGGATTCCCGGACTGTGAGAAGGATGTCTGCCGAGGGCTCCCAGACTATAAGGCCAGGCTGAGGGTCCTCCCATGCCCCCACCACCAGTGCACTAATTTTGTGCACTGGGCCTCTAGAACATATTCCAAAGTGATTGGTATACAATGTATTTTCTCCATTTGTTAAACAGTATATAGTTTCTAACACAGTCATATAGAAAAGAAGACAAGCTCACCCTCTTAAGTTTCTAAGGACCCATTTTTGTATGTTGCCTCTCTTTTATATCTTATTTACATTTTATTCAAAAGCTGCAATTTCACACAGAAATAGTTATTATATGCAAATAAGTTCACTGTGTTGTGGGTAATCTTAGTCTTTTGACTAGGTAATACTTATGACACTTTAGAATATAAAACTTCCATTAACAGTCAGTAAAGTCTATGTGTTGTCCTTTGTAGATAAAAATAATACACTAATATATTATTATTATTAATCTATGTGTGGCTTCATTTATGTTTTCAGTGGAAGTGATTATTCTGCATTAAGCTCTGACCAAGTTTTCCCTGAAACTAATAGAATCTTCTGAAATATAGCTGGTTGGGTTAGGGATGCAATTTGTGAAAAACCAAGACAACCCTTAGGCCTCATTAACGGATGCTCTAAGAAAATGATTAATGGAGCATAGACAAAATGGAGCCAACAATCTTCACTGTTGCCCCAAAGCATATTAATATATAATATGCAGCCCTCAAGCCCTCGACAGATACATTATTTAGCTGAACATTTCTTTCTGGTCAATATTAGCTATAGGATTTATATAATTTGAACTATCAGCACTTCTACATCAGATGAATCACAGCAGGAACAGTAAAATTTGTTTCATGATGAACAAACCTAAAACTCTAATGAAGTATATTCATCCAGAAGGAAGGAAACACACACAGAGAGACACTGTCATCATCAGTTAATTTCATCACATTCCTCAGAATGTATTAAAATAGTATTATTTTAGGGATCTCCCAGAGTCATTTATAACTACAATAAGTGATGACAATAATTAGCCCACAGAACTCACAAGAGGATTACCTGATAGTCTGGTTTTGTAAAATAATCCAAAGAGGAGATGTGGTCCAGAAAGATGCTGAATTCTGGAGGGAGATGTTTCAACATAAGCTTGTGGTCATACCTCTCCTTAATAGAGCCTACTTGCTCCTAGGAAGAAAAGAGAAATGGAACCAAAGTCAATTTCTCTTGGCAGCTACACATTAAGAGCCTCTCAGTAACAGTCTCAAGGGTATGTGCTGGGGATAATTAAGTATAAAGCATGAACTGAGCTCATACTAATAGCTTAATGCATACTGCTTTAAGGGGTGGGGAGGGGATCTGTAAGGCAGAACCAAAGGATAACACCGAGTTCTGCATCAATGAACCGTTAGCTCTCCCAAAAACAGTTGATCTTAAATCTGGTTATCAACACAGGTATTTACAGTTTTCAAATCAAACAATATAATGTGACAATTAAAATAAGAGTTTCATTGATTTATAAAAAAGGAAAAGAAAACTAATGAAAGTAAAAACTAAGAGGGAAGTCTAGAAATCAAATCAGAAGTAATAACTATACTTAAATTAATATCTGTGTACATAGAAAAAGTCATAAAATTAACTATTGAATAGATCTCTAATATCAGGTCATAGATATTTGGTATTATATACTGAAAGTGCTTATAATTTTAATTCAATCAAGATGCCTACAAAGGAGGAAGTTTAATTATTTTCCCTACCCAAAATTGACATTTCCATTTTCAAAATTACCTTGTCTTTTATTTTTCTCCATGGCAGCTGCCCAACCACAAACTCCACCAACATGTAGAATAAGGACCAAAGGTCATCATGTCTTCCCATTTCCTTCATAAGCAAAACAAAATCCAGTCACATTATATTAATATACTCCCTGTGAGTATATTACATTGTCTAAGACCTAAGACCTAATTATTGTGTTTCATCCTATAATAAGGCCTAAACATTTAAATATATAGTTCCCCCAAGTGAGAGAGAGAGAGAGGAAGAAAGAGAGAGAGAGAGAGCGCGCGCACGAGCGCACACTATATAGCAATGTACATGGCAGGAGTATACTGAAGAACTTGATATAAAGAATACCCCAAACCCAGAATGCTGACAACAGTATAATTAACAGCCCATTAATTAATAAATGAATTCATTAAGAGATAATGTAGTTGCTAAGGAAAGAGGGAAGGGAAATTAGTGTTTGGTGGGTACAGAGTTTCAGTGTTGTAAAATGAAAAAGTTCTAGAAATCTGTTGCACAATATTATGAATATACTTAACACTAATGTATTACATACTTAAAAATGGTTAATATGATAAGTCTAATGTTACGTGTTTTTTAGCACACACACAAAAAAAAAGAAATAAAGGAAATACTAAGAGCCAAAATTAAAGGAAAGCTGGAAATAAGAGAAGCCAATTGTTGCTGAAGCTTCTACTTTGGCTGTTTTAGAAATACTGTCAGGTTTTATCAACCACACTTTTATCAATCAGGAAAGAAACAGGTGTAAAAGCATTGAGCTTATATAAGACAGGAGTTGCAAGTGAGCAACTCCCCCCACCATTACCTCATAGGTAGGACTTTCAGAGGGTGATCTTTAGTGCTACATTAGGTATGTACATTATAATAAACTAGAGGCCCAGTGCACAAATTCATGCACCAGTGGGATCCCTTGGCCTGACCTGATGGATCGGACTGAACCGAGCTCTCTGACATCCCCCGATGGGTGCCGGATTGCAAGAAGGTGCAGGCTAGGCCAAGGGACCCCACTGATGCATGATCGGGGCTGGGGAGAGATGCAGGGGGGACCATGGAGAGCTCTAGGGCGTGTCCAGCCCATCTCACTCAGTCCCAATCGGCCAGACCCCAGCAGCAAGCTAACCTAATGGTCGGAGCATCTGCCCCTGGTGGTCATTGCACATCATAGCAAACAGTTGAGCTGCCTTAGCATATCATATGCTTTGATTGGCTGAATGGCTGACCTGATGACCAGACACTTAGCATATTAGGCTTTTATTATATAGGATTTTTTTCCCCTGTAGAATTTAACCACTCTCAAGGAATAAAGTGAATAGTTAAAAAAGGATTTTTCCCTGAGAGTTTGTTACTGCAAGTCTGCCCCTCTTTCAATATATGAGAATTAAATTTATACCACTTTTATGGGTCTGAGAAACCAAGCCCAGGGAATGAAGTATTTTCTGGGTGTTTCTGTCCAGTGATGACAGATATAAATGAAAATCCTTTCAAGATAAAAACACCATTAAATTCAGGACTTCTATGAGGCCCACCAAATAGAAGCTCATTATGTGAAATTATAAAACATATTATAAAGCAGGCTCCTATAACTGGAAAAGAGAAACTGTAAATAATATAATTAGATATTAAAAATTTTCAGAAATGAAATTATAGGATACAGAATATAAAATAAGAAAGATTAAACAAACAAACAAAAAAGATTAAAGTCATGAGAAAGGAACCATATCCAAAAAATAAAGATAAAAATACCAATTAGAATTGAATAAGGACCAAAAGAAATCTAGAAATAAAAAGTATAATTACAGAAATTAAAAAATAAGTAGACAGGTTAAAAATCTGATCAAACAGCAGAAAAAAAAGAATTAATAGACTGGAAGACAGATCTAAAAAAATTATCTAGAATGCAATACAGAGACACAAAGAGTTAGAAAATCTGAGTGTGAACTTAAGAGGTATAAAGGACAGAACAAGAAGGTCTAACATATACTGATTTAAAGATATCAAAAAAAGGCATAGAGCAAAATAGAAAGGCAGTATTTACAAAAGTAATGTCTGAGAATCTTTCAGAATCAATGAAAGACAGGAATGTTCACATCTAGGAAGCATAATTCTCAAACAGAATAAATATAAACAAATCCACCCTTAGGCATGTTTGAATATATCTGCAGGACACCAAAGACAAAAAGTAAATATCAAAAGTAGGCAAAGAAAAGTAAAAATTAAATTCAAGATGTCAACAATTAAATGAACAATGATCTTCTCAATAGCAACCACAGAACCAGAAAAAGTAATTTCTTCAAAGTATTGAGATAAAACAAATATTAATAAGGATTAAAATGTAGGACAACAATGAGATGAAATAAACAGTCCTCGTTTTGTTTGGAAACTATTCATGTTAAAAGTTTAAGGAAAAAGATAGAAAGAAAAGAAGAATAAAACGAAGGAAGGAAGGGAGGGAGGGAGGGAATGAGGGAATTATATTTGAAATCACCAAATCAGAATAGCAGAGTATGGAAGAAAGAAGTTATCAGAACTATCTGGGGAATCTTTTTAAGTTAGACAAGCACCTGTGAAGGTTTCATTACTTGTATTCCTGTGTCACCACATAAACTGGCAATCGCTCTGAAGCAGTGTTACTGTATAAAGCATTCTATTTCTCAGGTGTGTTAGGAGAAGAAAAGTACAAACCACTATTACGTGCTATGAAATTCTTCTACCAAGGGCAGATGAATAACAAGTTGGCAGGTTAACAGAGTAACTTTCAGATCATTTGTGCTGGAGAGGCTTTTAGAAGATCTCTACTCTTCATATTAAATCTCTAATAGCAATTTTGGAAATGCTTATAGAGCTCCTATGACTTCTGAAAATGTTTATGCTTAGCTAAGAAAGAATGTCCTATTTCAAAGATCCAAAGCTGGCATAATACTTTAATAGAATCTATATACATAAAAGGCTAAGCAACCAGCCAGTAGTAAAGATGTGCACTAGCCACCAGGCAGAAGCTCAACGCAGGAGCTGCCAAGCGATAGCAACTTTGCAGAGTGCCCTCTCACACTCTGGGACCTTCAGAGGATGTTGGACTGCCAGTTTTGGCCCAATCCCCACAGGCCAAGCCGAGGGACCTCACCTGCTCATTCCACAGACACCCTTTGAGCCCTGGTGTAACCCTGTGTGGCCAGCCAAGGAGGGACCACGAGAGGTTGGCTCCAAGGTGTGTCAGGCCCGTCCTACCCCGTTGACCACCTTCTAATTAATTTCCTTTCAATGTGCATGAATCCGTGCACCGGGCCTCTAGTTAACTATAAAGCTTAATACTTATAACATTTTGTAAGAATCTATCTGGAAAAAAAAGAATTCTTTTCAAGGCAGAATAACTGACTAAATGCCATAAAATAAAACAACACTGAATCAAAATGAATGAGCTAAAATGCTTGGCAGAGTGCTACACACTGATAAAAATACCTTTCTTATTTTTAATTTATAACCACATCATAAGAAACCAAATTAACTGGGGCATAGCATACACAACCTCAGCATACTCTGCCTTTATATTTAGCATTGGTCAAATTTTCATTAAAGCAATTTTGGCTTCACAGAACAAAAATAAGGTAACAAAAGATGAAGATAAGATTTATCTTTATTTTATCAAGCAATTACTTGTTAAATTTCTCAATTCCATCTAAACAAGTTCAAGGATTGAGAAATCTTAAAATGCCTACCTTTTTCTACTCATAATTAAGGTTCAATTTAAGGGAAAAAATCAGAACAAAACAAAAGGACCAAAGTATAAAATAAAAATAAAAAGGTAGGGGGTATTAAAAATTTAACCCAAGAGGAAAGATATATTTACTAAGATAAAAATTTTAAAGTTTGCATTTGAGATCTTCATGAAAACAAAATATTACAGGAGAAGAGCTACGAGAGATGAGATGCATATTACAGATAAAACTAGAGGCCTGGTGCATGAATCTGTGCACCAGTGGGGTCCCTTGGCCTGGCCTGCAGGATTGGACTGAAACCAGCTCTCCGATATCCCCTGAGGGATCCTGGATTGCAAGAGGGTGGCAGGCCAGGCCAAGGGGCCCCACCAGTGCATGATTGGGACCAGGGAGGGGTGTGGGAGGTTGGCCAGCCAGGGAGGGGCCACAGAAGGGATCCAGGTTGTGTCCAGCCCATCTTGTTCATTCCTGATAGGTTGGACCCCTATCAACAAGCTAACCTACTGCTCAGAGCCTCTACCCCCTGGTGGTCAGTGCATATCATAGCAACTGATCGACCAGTTGACTGTCTGACCCTTAGTGGTCAGTGCAGATCATAGCAAACAGTTGAGCAGCCTTAGCATATCATTAGCATATTACTCTTTTTTTTTTTTTTAATATATATTTTATTGATTTTGTACAGAGAGGAAGGGAGAGAGATAGAGAGTTAGAAACATTGTTGAGAGAGAGTCATCGATCAGCTGCCTCTTGCACACCCCCTACTGGAGATATGCCCGCAACCAAGGTACATGCCCTTGACCGGAATCGAACCCGGGACCCTTCAGTCCCCAAGCCGATGCTCTATCCATTGAGCCAAACCGGTCTCGGCAGCGTATTACTCTTTGATTGGTTGAATGGATGACTGGACACTTAGTATATAATATTAGGCTTTTATTATATAGGATGATGATCCCTACATTTCACTAGGTATTGTAACAGTATAATATTCCCAAATAATTTCTAGAAATAGAATACAAATGTTTTATTTCTTCAAAATTTTATATTAAATTCATTAATACTTATTTACTTATACCTATTAAGAACATAAGATTCCCCATACATATTATACTTCACTATTATCTTTCCTGGCAAATCAATTTTATTTTCTATGCAGATGCACACATCTGTTATTCACTATACACCTTACCATGCACCAGTATTACTAATGCTTTTCCCTCTTCTCCAAAGCAATTTCCACACCTTTGTACTATTAAAAAAGAAGTCAGTCTAACTCAAGCCATCACCATGCTTATACAGACATGACTCTAGTACAGATACCTACTCTGTTCCGATGAGCATTGATCGATGCATAACGAACTGTCCCTCGAAAGCCTGCCACAGCTCGAGGCTACAACAAAACAAAAAAGAATAATAAATAAGCTTCAAATAACAAAAGATTCAGTACACTTGAGCCATAAAGTGGATGTGAGAAACATATGCATTACTGACAACAAAACATTACTAAATTTCTAACTTTTGCCTCGCCGATATTGCTCAGTGGTTAGTGTCAACCTATGAATCAAGAGGTCACAGTTTGATTTAGGTCAGGGCACATGCCTGGGTTGTGGGTTCAATCCCCAGTAGGGGATATGTAGGATGCAGCCAATCAATGATACTCTCTCATCATTGATGTTCTCTTTCTCTCTCTCTCTTCCTTTCTGAAATCAATAAACATATATTTTTCAAAAATAAAGTTTCATATGTAACAAATAAACTATGTATATTAGAAAACATTAAATGCTTTCATATGCTCAGACTCCTGCCCAGTATCATAGTACACGAACTAATATTCAGGCTCTGGTAAAAAGTATAGTAAGACCATGAGGAATCGCTAAGAAATCTAAGATCTCTTTGTGTTTTTGGTTATTTCATTTAAATTCCATTCAAACATGGTGGCAATTTGTATCCATATATGTAATTTGTATTTATATATGCAATTTAAATATTCATAAATTTAAGTTAATGAGTATTTACTATGTGCCAGGTACTGGGAATAAATCCAAACATGAATAATACATGATCCCAGTTCTCAGAGACCTCTTAGGATAAAGTTTAACCTTTTCTTATTTGGCCTACAAAACATTCTATGACTTGGCAATAGCCTCATTCCAAAATGGATTTATTTGTGGTTTCTCCTACTGTAGAGATTGCAGCCAACTGAAGAGACCAGCAAGTGCAATTGCATTTGGTAGTTGCACTTGCAGATCTCTTCAGTTGGAATGCTCTCTCTTTGAATGCTGCCAATGGCTGGCTCTTCTACTCCACATTAGGCCCTCTACTCTAATGCCAGTTCCTCAGAGAAACATTTCTTAAGTATCCTAATAAAAAATACTACCCACCCCTGAAATGCTACTTTATTCTTATTTATTTATTTATTTATTTATTTATATTCTTTTTTTAAAAAATAGTTTATTTTTAGATAAGGGAAGGGAAGCAAAAGAGAGAAAAAACACACACAAAACATCTATGTGAGAACTTAACACTGATTGGCTGCCTCCTGCACACTCCCTACCAGAGAATGAGCTCTCAACACAAGGATGTGTCCTCAACCTGGAGTCAAACCAGCAACCTCTGAGTAATCTAAGATTACACAGGAGGACACTTAACCAACTGAGCCACACTGGCCAGGACCCACTTTATTCTTCTACTCTGCTTTATTTTTTTCCTCATAATACTTTTCACTACCTAGAATTGATTTTATTTATATTTCCACTTTTTTTATTGCCTAGTTTCTTCCATTGGAATATAAACTGTGATGGCAGGGTCCCTATCTTGCTCATTTTACAGACATAGAAACAGGTTCTGAGAGGTATAGAATTAGTTGGTGATAAAACCAGGTATAAGGTTTTTTTTACTTAAAATCATAAATTGTTCAATTCTGTGCTTCACAAGGATGGAGTCAATAACCTAAAGATTATGGAATGCACCATAGCTCATTATGAAAACTGACAAACTAGAAAATAATCTTAGCCAAGAATTTTCATTAGAATTTTTATTTGCTATCAGTAGTTTTAAATTACCCTCAATGAATTTGCATTACTTCTAAAAATATGTTTTTATTGATTTTAGAGAGAGGAAAGGAGAGAAAAATAGAAACATCAATGATGAGAGAGAATCATTGATCGATTGCCCTTTGCAAACTCCCTACTGGAGAGTGTGCCCTGACTGGGAATTGAACTCTGATCTCTGGGTTCATGGTTCGATGCTCAACCATTGAACCACACTGGCTGAGCAACATGCACTACCTCTGTAGTCAGAAAAAATATATAGTAAATAATATTTAAAAAATCTTTATTACCAGAATCTTTTCATCATATGCTATAAGATAAATACCCTATGTATTCTTCCTCTGTTTTTTTTTTTGCTCATTTTTATAATCTATGTTCAATCTATTCAAATCAGCACTCTATTTCTTCTTTCATGAACTTCTCTGCCCCTTTTAATTACTTCTTTCTGTTTTTGTTGTTGTAATTGTTAATTCTCAACCAACAATATTTTTTCCATTGATTTTTAGAGAGAGTGGGAGGGAGGGGTAGAGACAGAGAGAAACATTGATATGAGAGACACAACGATCGGCTACCTCCTACAAGCTCCCAGGGAAACATGGGCCAGGATCGAGCCTACAACCAATGTACTTGCCCTTGACTTGAATCGAACCCAAGACTCCTTCAGTCCTCAGGCCAATGCTGTAAACTGGCTGGGGCACTTCTTTTTGATTTAAGATCTAACTATATTAGAAACATTTTTTATTTAATGGCAAGTCTCAGTAATAAAAAAATTTCTGCAATCTATTTAAATCTCATTTATTTTCTTAGATGCCATTCATTGAAAATCATAGATAGATAGTAATATTTTCCTAAGATATCATGACTAACAGGAATATCCAATATTCTCACTTGGATTGATGGAATTCTGAGGTTGGAGATTCCTTTCTAGAAGAAAAATGTGTAAGGGCATATATATGAAAGCTCTTTTTACTAAATAACATTTCAGAGATTGTACTTTTATTCTTTGCTAAGAGACAGAAAGAAACAAAGAGAGACACATCAATTGGCTGCCTCTTGAAAGCTCCTGGGGATCTTGTTTTTGTAGCATGTAATTTTGCCTAGTCTCTTTCATTCCGATAAGTGTTGTGTGAAAATACCCAGACCTATTATTGCCTCTGCAGCCCAAGTCTATTGGGCACCTAGACTCTTTTCCCACCACCCCACCTCCCCACCCCCACCCCGTGGGTTCTAGCCAACATAAGCCCAGGAAACATACTTTCCAGTTAAAAGTAGCACTCGCCTGGCTCTGACCTTACTTCTGTCATTGCCATTGAAAAGGTTGAGATATAGGTAAAGAGAGATCAGCTGTTTTATTTTATTTTATTTGTTTTTTAATTTTTAAAAATATATTTTATTGATTTTTTACAGAGAGGAAGGGGATAGAGGGATAGAGAGCTAGAAACATCCATGAGAGAGAAACATCGACCAGCTGCCTCTTGCACACCCCCTACGGGGGATGTGCTCACAACCAATGTACATGCCCTTGATCGGAATCGAACCTGGGACCTTTCAGTCCGCAGACCCATGCTCTATCCACTGAGCCAAGCTGGTTTCAGTGAGATCAGCTGTTTTAGAGAGATCTTGATATGGCTGACTTATCAAAGAAATAATGCCAGGTCAACAAAATTTAGTCACCTTATACAATGCAGAAGAAACAATATACCCAATTGGGGAAAACAGCCATCCTATCTAATAAAAAAGTAATATGCAAATTAACCATCACTCCGCTATGTCCACAAGCTACGCCCACCAGCCAATCAGAGAAAATATGCAAATTAACCCCAATCAAGATAGCTGTGGCCACTGAGCGAGCAGGAAGGAAGCTTCCATTCCCGGCAATGGAAGAAGCCAAGCTTTCCACACACTCTGGCAGGCCCAGGCCTCCCCTCAAGGCTACAAAGTTTCAATTATAGAAGGTAAATAAATTCCAACAGATATGGCAGCAGCCACAGAGTGAGCTTGGCTCACTCCAGGCTACAAAGTTTCAATTATAGAAGATAAACCCCAGATACCAGGGCCTCCACTTGGGTTGCCAGGAACTACACAGGCCCCTCGCCCAGGCCACCCCATGACCCAACAGAACTCTCATCCTGATCTGGGACATCCTTTAGGGCAGGCGTCTTCAAACTTTTTAAAGTGGGGGCCAGATCACGGTCCCTCAGAGAGCTGGAGGGCCGGACTATATGAACTACTAATTCCTACTGTAACATCTCGGCTGCGCTCACTGCCCAAAAAACCTGGCGGGCCAGATCAGACTCCTCTGCAGGCCGCATGTGGCCCGCGGGCCGTAGTTTGAAGACGCCTGCTTTAGGGCAAACCAGCCAGTCCCCACCCATTCATCTGGCCTCTATCCTATCTAATAAAAGAGTAATATGCAGATTGACCATCACTCCAACACACAAGATGGCTGCCCCCATGTGGTCAAAGAGCCTGCCCCCATGTGGATACAAGATGGCCACCACAGGATGGCAGTTGGGAGGGATCAGGCCTGCAAGGGAGGTCAGTTGGGGGCGATCAAGCCTGCAGGGGAGGGCAGTTAAGGGGGGACCAGGCCTGCAGGGGAGAGCTGTTGGGGTGACCTGGCCTGCAGGGAAGGGCAGTTAGGGGTGACCAGGCCTGTAGGGGAGGGCAATTAGGGGCAAACAGCCTGGCAAGGGAACAGACAGACATCAATCAGGCTGGCAGGGGAGTGGTTAGGGCGATCAGGAAGGCAGGCAGGTGAGCAGTTGGGAGCCAGGAGTCCTGAATTGTGAGAGGGATTTCTGACTGCCCCAAGGGGTCCCAGATTGGAGAGGGTGCAGGCTGGGATGAGGGACACACACACACACCCATGCACGAATTTTGTGCACTAGGCCTCTAGAGCGTGTGTTTGTGTGCCTGTGTGTGTGTGTGCGCCTGTGTGTGTATTTCTAATTCAAAGCAGATTATAATGGACATCATTAACAAAGTAAGAAAGCCTAGGAGTGGTACAGATTAATTCTATTTGGTGGAAAGGAAGAAGGAAAAGCCCTATGGAAGTAGGAAATGTTTTAAGAATAAGGCAACTTTTAACTGGAACTAGACATAAGTTAGCTCTTGAAACTTCCCTAATTGATGGCATTTTGATTGATAGCTTTCAAAATTGCAAATGCATACATTCTTTATGACCTGGCAATTTCATTTCTAGAAATTTATCTTACACATCTACTTTGCATATATGCAAAAATAGTGAATGTACAAATTTATCCACTACTTTATGTTTGTGATAGCAAAAGAACAGAAGTAACCCAAATGTTCATCAATAGGGGACTGATTAAATAAA